TTTCTTTAAGAGTGCATGTGGAGGATTCAGCAGAAGTGGACAAGTGACATGAGAAAAACAAATAAGGGATGCAGTGTTTATGGAATAGTTGAAGATGGGCTATTGAGCTCATAGTGATAAAATGGGTGGAGTGACATTGTTTAAGGAAAGTCACAGATTAAATTGTGGAATAAATTGGGATGATTCATGATTTGGGACAAATTATGGTAATAATAGTGATTTAATGATTGGAGAAAACCTGCACATGATACTTGTCTGTTATGCTGAGTAATTTATCACTCTCATGATCTATAGTTGGTTGCAAATGTGAAGTTTAATTTAACAGATTTGTCTTCCAGGTTACAGGCTCCAGGTGGAGCTGGAGTTAAACAAGCTTAACATGTGACTGCTGATTAATGTTTTTACACAGGGTTACAGGTTGGAGTATGGCTGCTCCAAGTGGGAAACCCTGGAGATTGTTTTAGAGAGAATGTGCGACATTCTTGTGCATGTCTCATTGGGGAGTTGACACATGGCGAAAGCCGTGTGGGGAGAGGAGTGTTATTTTTTAATCTGTAGATATCGTGAGGTGCCATGACGAGAAGGAGTGGCTGAGAGGATCGTCCACAAGATGGGAGCTGAGGCCAGGAGAGAGGCTTCAGGAGGATCAGAGATCATCTTCAGCACAGCAGACATCACACAGAGAGCTGTGCTACTGAGCTTCCAGGAGATCAAGAGGAGACTTCCCACAGCAAGATTTTAAATAAAATGAAAGATTCAACGTTGACGCTGAGGAAGACCACTAAGGTGTACGACGTGCTCTGCCTTAAATCTTCAGCAGCGTTGGAACACGAGAACTTTAGGGATGGAGAGAGCGTGCCAAGCTCCAAAAGTGACAGCGCAGAGGAAGTCCAGCGATGGAATTGTGATTTTGTGTGAAGCACGAATACTAGGAGACTGGGAAATAGTTGACACCACTTTTCCCAAGGATGAAGATCACCTAAATTGTGTCACTTTGCCATGCAGATTTGATGCTCTGCAGAGAAGCCTTCTGTGAGGGAGAGATGTAAACAGACGAGCCTTTTATCTACATTTAAATCATGTTAACTTCTCTAGGCTGGTTGAGGGGGAATTGGAGAGAAACGGTAGTGTTAGGTGTGACTGTGGTTATTGTAACTGTGATTTTTCTTACAAGTGAATTGCCCAGAGACAGACCTGAATCCATTCCAGTGACTCCACCATCACAGGCCACGGTGAAGCGAACCAAAATAGTGAAACAGGTAAATCAGATGAGTGTTTTGATTATTATGGCGGTGTAGAGTTGGACTACGTTAAAGGGTCCACAATCTCGTATACATTTGATCTTTGTGCTGTCATTAAATGCGAGGGCTTGCTGAACAGTTGAGTCCAACGTCTTTAATGGCAGTACTAAATCGGATGGCGTTAGATATGTTGTTGGGATAAAAAGGGGGCGTTTGCGCGATGTTTGGGGATATGTATTGTACTTTCATTTTGAATAACACAGTTCCTGACGGCTCTGTGACCCGAGTTCTGGAAGGCCTAAAGACGTTGTCCACCACCATGTATGAGCATTCGGGATTAGATGACCTGCTGGAAGCGTGGATGACCTCTGTCTTTGGGCAATGGAAAGGTTTTATTATGTTAATTATGGTTTCTTTGTCTGTTTTATTACAGTATCAGTGACATGTGGGTGTTGTTGTGTGCCTTGTATCAGAGCCTTGTTCGTAAGACTCATCATCGTGCTGTGGGAGAATCTGATACAAAGGCCGACACCATGATGCCACTTTTGGGAAATGGGGAGTCACAGTATGAAAACATTATGGTGAGAGATTTAGTTTAGTTTTATCTGCCATAGGGCAGATAAAAAGGGGGATTTGTAGGAGTGTTTAGCTTATTTTAGAGTTTAGAAATGTGTTATTATAGAATGTAGAACTATTGTAGAGACATTGATACTGCCCTTAATATAATAAAGGCCTCACTGTGTCGTGAACTTAGGAGTAGAGTGTAGGAGACCCCTCCCCCACTTGAACTGAGAAAGTAAACAGAGAAGAGTTAATGCTGAGTGGAAATTTCCCAGAGAATGTTTGGGTGGGGGTCTCAACATTTGTAACTGGATAACTGTGGTCTGGAAGGGAGATGGGTTTTATGACCTAGGGAGTCATCTACACCCACAGTGTTTTAACTGTCACGCACACACATCCACACGCACACTCACTCATGTGCACTCACACATACACACAGGTATGTGTACACACTCACACACGAGCACTCACATAGACACGTGGGAACGCGCACATGTAGGCATTCATGTGCTCGTGCACATAGACACAGACAGAGTTTGCAGCACACCGTAGGGGTTTTATGATGGGGACGCCTCTATAAAGCTGGCTGTAACTAACAAAGGGGTGAAGATTTTGCAGAGGGACACACCGGCCTCGTCTTCCCTTCTAGAAGTGCATGCTTAAATGAAGATGTTTTGTGAAATAACTACTGAGTTCCGGTGCCGTCTCTGGATGCCTCGACGAATAAAAGAACTGGGGTAAAACTGATTTCGCAACATTATCTAGATTCATGCGGGAGGTCAAAGAATGGTTCCTGAGTAATTCTCTTGTTTTGAATGATTAAGAAGACTGAGACTGTGGTGTTCAACAGTAAAATCCCTCGTGCCCAACTCTGTGCTGCCCTGGGTTCCTTTGCTAGCTCTTCCTGTGACTATGTCAGTAACTTGGGTGTACTGCTGGATAGCTCGCTCAAACTCGATAAGCAAGTGTCTGCTGTAGTGAGATCTAGCTTCCACCAACTGCGCCTTATCTCTAAGGCTAGGCATTATGTTCCGCATGAGAACCTGGAGAAGCTTATTCACACTTTTGTGACCTCCAGGTTGGATTACTGTAACTCCTTGTACTACAGTCTTCCCTCTTCTCTTCTTCTTAGACTGCAAACAGTCCAAAATGCAGCAGCCCGCCTCTGGACTGGTACCAGGAAATTTTGCCCTATTACTCCTGTCCTAGCTAGCTTGCTTTGGCTGCCCATAAAGTACCGTATTCAATTTAAAATATTACTCCTTACATTCAAAACTATTAATAAATTAGCGCCAAGTTATCTTAGTGAACTTCTCAAACCACATACTCCTGCTAGAACACTCAGATCTGCCACTCAACTACTTCTGACCCAACCCAGATGTCGGCTGAAGTCCCGGGGTGACCGTGCGTTTGCTCTGGCTGCCCCGGTACTGTGGAATAACCTTCCTCTCGACCTCCGCGCATCTGATTCCATTGCACTGTTCAAATCACGACTAAAAACCCACTTATTCAATCTTGCCTTTCCCTCTAGTTAATATTTCTTTTATGATTTTATATCATGCACTTTTATGCTCATTTAAATTCTTGTTTGCTCTGAACCTGTTGCTTTCCTATGTATTAGTGACAGTTATCTGCTTGCATACTTAGTACTTGCTTTGGTCCTATTTCTATTATCCTCCTCCTATTCTCTATCTTACTTGTTAAGCACCTTGGCATACCCTTGGTTTTTAAGTGTGCTTTATAAATAAAGTTTATTATTATTATATTATTATTATTATCTCTGTGCAGCTAACCTCGGAGGAAACACTGAGGACACCAGAAACACTAGAAGAAATAATAAAATTAAAACAGGAACCAAAACTAAATGAAAACACAAGAATTATAAACTCAGCACATAAACAAACAAACAAAACAAACAGGCTAATGGCCGTCATATCATAAATGTGTGTTCATTCTCCTGTAAATGGACAGACTCTGTTTTGAAAAGTGCAAATCAGTCCCAGAAAAACAGCAAAGGAGCTTCTGAAGATACTGAAACAGGGACAAGGTATAAGTTTACTTCACAAGGTGGCATGAAGAAGAACACTAATGTGGTTGTAGTGCAGAAACTTCAGGTCATCAGTGAGGAAGTGAACAAATAGACAAAAACTACAGTTTAAAGATCGCAAAGTCAAGTTAGTAGCGCAACCATCACAAATCTGATCTCAGTGCAGTAAAAATTTATGGAGAGAAGCAAAATTTAACAAAGACTCATAAAAGCTGATCCAGTTCCAGCATTTCTGTCTGGAGGACTGGAAGAAAATCCCAGAAACTTCCTGTGATTAAATGACTAAGATTCAATTTGAGGAAATGAAGTTATGTGAGTTAAAACTGGTGAACGAGAGTGTTTTACATGGAATCACTTTTTCTGCTGTTAAATCTGTGTGTTTGATCCAGTCAGACTCTGATTCTTCTTCAGCAGCGATGCTGGAAATGAAATTAAGCAGCCAAAGCTGCTCAAATGTGATTGGTCAGCAAACACAAACAGAAAGCACAAATCTTGTCCTGTGATTCCAGATTTGACATATTCAGATACAAAATCAGTTTTTTTCTATCAGAGAGAAAAGAAGGTGACAGAAAGATGAGGCACCGTGACTGATTCATCCTCTATAAACATCCACAGGAAACTGATGGAAATGTGTCCAACAACATCAGCGTCCTAATGAGCCGCTGCTAGAAGGACAAAATCCTGACCTGACATCAGTCCAAGTGTCTGGTTAAATGTACTGAAAGGTGTTAAACAACAAGTGCTGCTGGAAGAGTTTTCATGAAGAGAACATTAACACTGTGAATGAGGGATGGACTTTGACTCAGTTTGACACAATCTGTTTTTCTTTCACTTTGAATAAATGTTTTTGTGGGACTGAGGATACATTTGTTTACATTTGGAAGTTTGATGTCATCTGTTCCTCTTGTTTCTGTCTTAAAACAGGATGAAAAATCTGTTTAAACAGAAATAAATCGAATTGAATTTCTGACAGCAGTAAATAAAAATGGTCCCTGAGCTCAGTATGTTTGTGACTCTGAGATGGAGGTGAAACATGTGAAGCTGGGCTGTGGTTTACTGCTCTCTTCCTGTCACAGACACTGTTTGACATCTGTTCATCTGTTGGTTTTTGTTCAGGCTGCAGGGATCATTTCTCACTGTGGGGATCATACTTCCAACAGGAGCAGTAGTAGGTGGCTGAATGATCACGTTTAACTTTCTCTATCTTCAACTCACAGCCGTTCTGTGTTTTCACAGCTGAGAAATCATCTCTCTGAGCATGACCGTAATTTTTATCTATGCCACCACTATTCTTGTTTATATCAAGAATCACTCTGAATGTTTCTTTTTCTTTCTTCTGGTACCAGAATACATAGGGTGCACGGCTATCACACTTATTAATCCCTCCACAGTTGAAGAAAGCACTTTCTCCAACTTTCTTGGTATGTGCTAAACCATCTTGAATCAGCTGTCCTGCTGCCATGGTAACCAGTGCTGTAGAGACACAGACAGATAGATGAAGGTTAGTGTGACAGTGTTTGTTACAGGTTGACTTTGTTGGCTCCTGATTGGCTGGAAACACTCACCTGAACACAGACAGCACAGAGCAGCAGCTGGGAGGAAAAGCATTTTGTGCAGTGGTGTTTCCTCTGGTGAACCTGGGGAGAAGTGGCGCTCTGATGCAGCTGAGGCCAAACAAGGACGAGCTGTGAGATCAGACGAGGGCCACGTGGTTTCTAACAGGTCCTCAAAGCTCCCATCAGCCCCTGCGGCCCACAGATAAGACTGCTGCTGCTGATTGACAGCTCAGCTGAAGCTGCTGTGGTTTCATCGTCTTCATTTCAATCTGACAGCAGATCCAAAAATCTGGGTCACATGATGCACAAACACTCAGAAACATTCATGTTGCTGTGAATTTAGTAACACACACTGTTATCTGTTGTTTAACAGCTGTGATGAAAACACTGAACGTACAAACTAAATATAACTAAACTATAAAGAAAAATAAAAACATAAAAAATAATATTCTGTAAAAATCATTTAAAAGTTCATAAATTATAAACAAAGGACTTTAAAAGAATAAAATCTCATGAAACATAATTTATAGTCAAATTCTTTTTTCTTTTTTTTGTTTTTAAGGTTTTAGCTTCTGTGAAGCACTTTGAGATTTTTATCTTGAAAGGTGCTCTATAAATAAAGTTTTACTTACTTACTTACATGTGGTTCGGTTGTGTGTTTAAAATTTGTTTATCTTTGTGAATCAAAATGAATAAATAATATTCTCAGCATCTCATTTTTAATTGTTCTGTTTTATTGACGACAGTTTTAAGAATCATTAAAATGATGATCATCAATTCTAATATCTATAAACAGTAATAAAAACAGGGCTGTGTTTCACGTCAGCTTCATTTATTTGTAGCCATGGTTAGATTTCATCTGCAGCAGGCAGTCATCCACCTTTACACACACATTTACACAACAGTACAAAAGCAGTAATATTTGGAAACATCTCTGTGATCTCTATAAGACAAAAGGATGGGAGAGGCTGGTGTGGTCTCAACACTGTTCACAGTGTTTCCTTCAGTGCTGCTGACAGCGTCTCACAGCGTGCTGTGATACCTGATACCTTGTAAATGAGTCATTTACCTCAGAGCCGATTTTTAGGCTCTCGCCTTTAGTTCATCTTGTTTTCATCACTCGTTGTCGTCACACCGAACCTCCTGTAATAAAGTTCACTTAATTCTTCGCCATCGAGCGTCTGAGTTTGTCTGCGCCTGAGTCCACTCCTCCATGACAACATCTGTTTCATATTTGCTCTTTTTCACTTCATAGTAAATCACTTAACTTGTTATAGATTATTTACCCTGACATAAAACACAAATCTGTGGAATAAATCTCATCAGATTTTATATTTGCATCTAAGATTTTAAAAATATTAATTCTTTAAAAGCATCACTAAAGTTCAGCGAATTTCTAATTTGTCCTCCTGCACTTGTGTCAAATATGGACACGCCTTTGTCCTTATGAAGGTTTGCCTTCACTCAGACCCATGCCCTGCTGTTCCTACCATGCCAACATACAGAAACATGTCAGGCAATGAGTTGGAATAAAGTTGAATCAAACCTTGAAACACAGAGATGGATGATATTTTATACCTTTCATTTATAAATAGTCAAAGCAGACGGGGTCATTTTTGAGCCCAAAGGAAAACCTGATTATTTGCTGCCAGTAAAAAACTTGAAGTCGTTTAAAAACAGCTTCCTACATTAACTTTGACATAAAGCCGTCTGTGATCATCTGTTAAAGCGACCGACTCTGGTTGTGAAACAATGATCACAATAACTGATCATTTCATGTATTTTTTACACTGAATTGATCGACAATTTATACTTTAAAAACACTGAAATGAAGTGGGAACATTTGTGACCCTGAGGACCACAGGTGTGTGGAAATCGGGACATTATGAGGGTTAAATCTTAATATTCATATCAAGAGAATTTACAGCACAGCGTGGGTGAACTTAATAAATATTCAGCACTGGTTCAATCATCAAATTGATGAATGTTCTTTGTTTGACTTTGTCTCTCTGTGCTGCTCTTAATTATAATTATTATGATTTGATTTCAATTATATTATTTGTATAAATTGCACTAGTCTGAATAATTAAGCTGATTAATCAATGACACATTTTGATTAAACATTTTACATATTTATAATTATTAGAAAAAGATGGAAAGATGCTCAACATCCATCTGAACTGATGGTGTTTTGTGAAATTGTTTTTACAAATCTTGTCTTAATTTATTCCCTTTTCAGTGTTTTTAAATCATAACGGTTCAACTTGAGTTCTGTGGGATTTAATGTTCAGACTTCATCTTGTATTTGTCTTTTGTGATCGTACTAAACATCAACTGTGTAACAGCTCTGAGTTCACACTTTGTTTCTCTCACACACATGAACACAGATGCTTCCTGAACAACTTGAAGCAGAGTTCCTGCTTGTAACTGTCGTTGTGTTATTAAAGTGAAAGCCACAGCTAACGGTGTGGAGGCTGCAGAGCAGAAACCCACACAGCCCGTCTGCTGCAGGAGAGCAAGTTTATGATCTGTGAATGCTGCAGTCACACAGGTTATGTATCACAGAAGAAATGAGAAATGCATTCTTAAAATCACAATCTTTATTTTTACTTCAGACAAATAACTACACTGTTATTTTGTTATGGTGGGATCTGAATGCTGAGTTTTTCTGCAGAGATGTACAAAAGAAATCTTCACATAAAGAATCTACACTTTTACAAACACATCAAACATGTTTATCTGTAAATTTATGTTACACAGTTTAAGATGATTAAATGAGAAAAGGTCAAATGCTCAGTAATGAAACATTGAACCAACCAGAAGTTAATTTACATTTCTGACTGCTGACTGGAGGAAATCTGATGGTGAGAAAAGGCGAGCAGGAAACAGTCAGTCAGCATGTGTGCAGTTGGTGGACGCTCCCTTGTTTGTGAGCATCATCAGCAGAGAGAGTCCACAGCAGTACACCAGACTCTTCACTATCAGCACTGTGTACAGCAGGCAGAGCAGCTTCACCCTGCACTGAGACTGGAAGGACACTGAAGGACAGACAGACACAAAGAGACAGACAGACAGTCGGGTTATTCCTCTCAGATCAAGGAGAAAAAGTCCAAATAGAAACAGTCACAGCTTCTTCTTCAAGTGGATGAATTGATGTAGTGTTTGTGTCCACTTGGGGGCAGAAGAACTCCACAAGCAGCTAACAAACTGATCTCTGACATATTATGGTCTGTCTGCTGTTTGGTGCTGAGCAGCTAGTGTACAGTGGCTTTATCAGAGCTTGTTGGATGAAGATTTGATCAATTAGTGCAACTTTAAGAGCCTAAACTTGTTCCAGCTGCCTCATTGGACATTGGAGCTGTCCATGCAGAGAGGCAGCAGGTGATCTTACAGTCAGCTGGCTGCAGAGCTGGCAGGTCTGCTGGCTCTCTCTCTGGAGGACAGGAGGCTGCTGGAGCTGGAAGCTCTGAAACAGAAAAGGAGTCAAATGTTTGGAGCTGCAGTGAGAAATGTCAGTCCTCTGCTGCTCTGCTCTCTTTGACAGCATCTCCACATGAAGCTGAATCACTGCTGAACACAGTCAGCAAGCCTTCATTACCTTGTTGTGTTCGGGCCTCCACTGTGCCCCCCTCGTGCTTCACCCAGCAGCTGTATTTATATGTGTCAGAATGGCTCCCATCAACCATCCTGATGGCAATGGTGCGTCCCGCCTCTCTGAGCTCCAGCTGCTCTCCCTCAGCAGGGGGCAGCTCCTCCGCTTCTCCGCCGTTCTTCTTCTGTCTTTTCCAGGAGAACTGGACCAGAGGAGGAAACATGGCTGAGGCCACACACAGCAGGGAGCTCTTCCCCTCCAGGTGGGCTCTGGATGCTGCTGGGTACACGCTCACCACGGGCTTCACTACCTGCTCATCTGAAGTTTGACAGCAGCAACAAGCAGCACAGACACACATTCACACAGTCAGCAGCAGCTTCCAGCACTGCACTGCATTCAGTCTGATCCTGGAAACTACATGGACTCTGATCACTAAACTACTCATCAGCACAAAGTTCACTACATACACTGGATTCAGCTTCATATCAAACACAGTCATCACCTCATGTCATCATGGCTCACATGAGGAACACTCAGCATGGTTTTACATCATGAAATAAAATGTATTTCTTCTTTATTTTCTTGACTTTTAAAATTTAATTCATAACAAATTTAAATATATATATATATATATATGGATAGATAGATATTTGCCTTGGTATAATTTTTAAAATATATTTCCAATCCCAAACACATTTCAACAGAGTTGATCTTCTTCCATAAAACCCATTAACCTTTTTTAACTTTATTCTGCACTGAAATTATGTAAATTTTAAATAGTCTTTAAAGACATGTTTTATATTTGTTACAATAAATAACATTCTTCTTTCAGAGACTTTAAAATTCTTAAATCTTTTACTGCAATAATTGGATCAGCTTTAATTTTATTATTTGGTTTGATTGTTATTTTCTTCCATATGTAAATGAATTATTAAATAAATTTAAATGCAATTAAGCTGAAATTTGAGAGATAATTAAATCCTTTTTCGGCTATTTGAATGATTTTATTATTATTTTTAATTTAAAAAATTACATTTTGTGAATGATTGTGTATTTACTTTTACATATTTTTCAAAAAAGTATTTACAGAAACATTTTTGAACTTTCATTATTATTTGCCATTTTGACTCATAAAACCTGACTAACAATTTCATATTTTATCCAGTATTTTCCATCACATTTTACACGCTTAACATTTCACTGATCAGTATCTATGACAATTAATAAAATAATGTTTTTGGAAATAATGACTCTTTGGATCAACATGCTATATCGTTCACTATTAAAAACATATCCACATTTTCTTCTTAGCAAAATTCATATTTACAAATCTGCTACTGTATTAATTTTAACATCAAATATGATCTCGTGTTAAAAACCAGCAGAATCACTGAGAGGATCAAATCCTAAATATTTGTAACATCACTAATATTTGCAGAAATAAAGAATAACTTTAGTTGTTCAGTGAGATTTCAACATGTTTTCAGAGATTATTGAGCTTTTCTTATGTAACAATGGCTGCAGATGAATTCTCTACTAATGATGAAAAACTAACATGTAAAGCCTGAAGCAGCACAAACTGACTTTAAACACATTTTCAGCTTCTACAATAAAACAACTGAAGGAAAATAAATGTTTGTTCTTACCTGTTACAGACAGTCCTAAACTCAAAAAGCTGTGGCTGGAAAAGAGAAAGGCGTTCAGAAGCGGAGACAGGGACTGCTACAGAGAGGCCAAGTACAGGTTCACTAAAGAAGTGGACATTGCTAAACACCAGCACTCTGAGAAGATACAGCAGCAGATCTCAGAGACTGACTCGGCCTCTGTGTGGAAAGGTTTTAGGAATATTACAAACTACAAGCCTAAAACCCCCCACTCCACTGATGACTTGCTCTTAGCCAACACCCTCAACGACTTCTACTGCCGTTTTGACGAGCCATCAGGCAGCCTTCACACCTCCAACGACCCCAACAATAGAGGCACTTTGGACACTCATTCCCCCACCTCTCCCCCCTCCATAGAGCCATCACCACCTTCAAACTGTTCACCTACAACACCCGCCCCCTCACCCCACACAAAAGAGGATTTCACACCACCTCCTCCCACCATGAAGCAGATGTGAGGAAGCAGTTTAAGAGTCTGAATGCTCGAAAAGCTCCCGGCCCAGACGGCGTGTCTCCTGCCACCCTCAGACACTGTGCAAACGAGCTGGCCCCAGTGTTTTCTGGCATCTTCAACTCCTCACTGCAGGCATGTCATGTGCCTGCCTGCTTCAAGTCCTCTACCATAATCCCTGTCCCCAAGAAACCTAGGATCACTGGACTAAATGACTACAGACCCGTGGCTCTGACATCTGTGGTCATGAAGTCATTTGAGCGCCTAGTTCTCTCCCATCTCAAGACCCTCACGGCCCCCCTCCTGGACCCCCTGCAGTTTGCATATAGAGCCAACAGGTCTGTAGACGACGCCATCAACATGGCCCTACACTTCATCCTGCAGCATCTGGACTCCCCAGGAACCTACGCCAGGATCCTGTTTGTGGACTTCAGCTCTGCCTTCAACACCATCCTTCCAGACCATCTCCGAGGCAAGCTTTCCCAGATGAATGTGCCTGATCCCATCTGCCGGTGGATCACTGACTTCCTGACGGACAGGAAGCAGCACGTGAGGCTGGGAAAGAATGTCTCGGACTCCCGGACCATCAGCACCGGCTCCCCTCAGGGCTGTGTTCTTTCTCCTCTGCTCTTCTCCCTGTACACCAACTGCTGCACCTCCACCCACCAGTCTGTCAAGCTAATCAAGTTCGCAGATGACACCACCGTCATTGGGCTCATCTCGGACGGGGACGAGTCTGCCTACAGGAGGGAGGTTGAACGTCTGGTGTCTTGGTGCAGCCACAACAACCTGGTGCTGAATGCCCAGAAGACAGTGGAGATTATTGTGGACTTCAGGAAGCACACAGCCCCACTCCCCCCCATCATCCTGACTGACACCCCCATCACCTCTGTGGACTCATTCCGCCTCCTGGGTACCACCATCACCCAGGACCTGAAGTGGGAGCCCACCATCACCTCCGTCATCAAGAAAGCCCAGCAGAGGATGTACTTCCTGAGGCAGCTGAAGAAATTCAACCTGCCAACACGGACGATGATGCAATTCTACACTGCAATCATCGAGTCCATCCTCACCTCCTCCATCACCGTGTGGTACGCTGGAGCCACTATCAGGGACAAACAGAGACTGCAGCGTGTTGTGCGCTCTGCTGAGAAGGTGATTGGCTGCAGACTCCCATCTCTGCAGGACCTGTACACCTCCAGGACATTGCGGCGTGCAGCCCGGATCTCAGCTGACCCTTCTCACCCTGGACACAGTCTGTTTGACCTGCTCCCTCAGGCAGGAGGCTCCGGTCCATTCGCACCAGAACCTCTCGCCATAAGAACAGTTTCTTCCCCTCTGCTGTTGGACACATGAACAATAACCACATGATTGTCCCCGCCACTAACACATGACCCTACGCTGTGTCACTGCATCATTTCATGTTTGGCACTGATCACCACCTGCACTCATGTATATATCTTTCTACGCAGCACTCATAATTCTTATTCTCATGTATATATCTCATGTATATCTCATGCACATATCTTTCTTTCTACATAGCACTTTAATTCTTATTGTCTGCACTGAAGCACCGCAGCAATTTCCTAATGTTGTAAACCTCAACATCTGGCAATAAACCCATTCTGATTTAGTTCCAGAGCCAAAGATGAGGTAACCATATCCACTCCCACAGTGAGACAGACTGCTACAAAAACCTGTCTGCTGTTGAACGTGTCAGCTGAGGTGAATGAGTCCAAATGAGGAAGCAGGATCATATTTCAGCTCCATGATGTGTTTCTCTAATGTTCATATCAACATGACTGTCTCTTCTTCTCTTTCTTTTAGCCACACTAGCAGCACGGCTCTGATGTTAATGTCAGTCTGTTGGTCAGTCCACTACTTTAGTCCACATGGACTGGATCTGGACTAAAGACATTAAACTTTGTACAGATATTCTTAGTCTCTAGAGGATCGACTTCATTAAATGACTTTGTCGATTCTGACTTTTTAATCAGACAGTTTGGATTTTGGATTTTCATGGTTCCCTGGGTTTCCTGGTCCAACTTCTCTAGCTCAGCATGGTTTGTGGTTCTCCAGCAGTTCTTCCTGCTCAGTGTCAAATGTTCACTTACTCCTGGGCATCATTTAGTGTTAATGGTACTTGTAATAAATGTAACCTCTGAGAATAATCCTATAGCTAGCCAGGCTCCTTTAACCACTGCAGCCCAAAGTAACACAGCTCCTGTCAGCTGAGCTGGAGCAGCAGGGGTGACTGTACCACTGTGAGGACGAGGTGTTGTGTGAAACAGAAGCCCCAGGTTTACCACGAAACCATTCGTGTTTTAAGTCTATTTTTCACACAGCTACAACACAGCTGTTGTTGGCTCTATTCTTAGAAACATGAAGCTGCAGCATCTGGGGAACAGAGTCAAAGTCATTCCAGGGAACAGAGTGAGCTGCACTGAGGAGCAGCAGTGGCAGGAATCTTTACTTCTGATTTATTAATAACCCACAGACAAAGTTATCATTTATTTGAAAGTCTTATTCTTAGCCCTGCACACCCTAACCGAAAAAAACAAAACTGTTTTATTTGTTGTTTATTGTCAGTCTGGCTCTTACTCTGAGTTTGATTTGTCCGATTTAGTGATCAGTTCAGATAAAATAATTAGTACCTGACTTTAACATTCATGTGGAAAAATGAAAACAAAAACATGAACTCTGTTTTCATTCTTTATTAAACTAAATTGGCTTCAGCTGGGTTCTTTATCAGTTGAGATTGCAGCAGTTATTCTGTCTGCTCTCAGTTTTCAAACACTCATCTCCTCAATAATTGGCTTGGAGGTAAGCGCTCTCAAACTCACCGAGTCTGTTGCAGGCTCTCATCGTGTGGATACAGTCTTTTTATATTCAGCAGTGGGGAGCTCAGTTTCTACAGTCATGTAGGCACCAGCCTGATAATGAAATTGTTAATTGCCCCTTGAGGATAAATAAAGTCTTTCTGATTCTGAATGAAGACACACATAGTGTGTCATGAAATTGAACACAGCTCACAGTTGTTTTCTCATCTTCACACTCAGTCTTTGTACAAGAAAGTTACAATTACATGTCCAAATGTCCAACCTCCAAAAAAGCAGCACCTTCAGAAAGCCTGTAGAACTCTTGTTCAAGACCACTCTGAGTCTTGTGAAATGCACTTCACACACGTACACACAGGCACAGTTGTTTGTCGCCAGACGTTTATTTCTAGTTTTCATTTGTTATGACCGTGCACAGTCTGACAGCTCCGGTCTCAGCTGATTTCCAGCCCCCCTCCACTCCTCTCCCATCTCACCATAAAAGGGGAAGGAAACCATCATCAGTCCGAACGCCATCAGCTGTTCTCACCTGCGTCTCCAGCACCGCCCCGTTGAGCTCACTGCACCACTCCTCCCCTGCAGCCGTGCCCGGGACCACACCTCCGCCACAGTCTTTCTCCTGGAGAAGAAAAACAATCAGGTGGGTGCTCAAGACTTTTGGACAGTACTGTGTATTTTACAGCAAACAGCATAGATAGAGACTGGATACAAGAGAAACAGGGGGAAGGGACACAGGGAAACAGTTACATGGTATTAATTTCTCATAGTTTATTAGATAAAAGACCATACATACATAAGACAGATGTGTGACAGAAAGGCAAACAGAGACAACTGCAGATTGAAACATAGTGTTTGTGCTGCCTCTCTTTTATTGTTTTAAATATGCTGTAAGCCTCCTGCAGCGTCTTTAAGTTTCTGCCTTCCTTCCCGACTGAAGAATTATTAAAGAATTGTAAGAATATAAATATAATATATGAATATATTATTTAAACACCTCAGTACACATAAAACTGTATTACTGCAAAGTAAAAACAATTGTGCAGAAAAATGTTCCCCATCAGCATCAAATGAATTAAAATTACTGCTGAATATGTTTAGGGTAGAGCTCATTTTAAATACTTTATATTCTGTTTAATGTCCAACATCATATTCTATAAATCACGTTTGTAGTGGCTGCCCTGTGAGGACCACATGTATGACCTGAGCTCAGAAACACAGGCCTACATCTGGATTAAAAGTCTGCAGCAGTATGTGACCTGGTTAACTGTCAGTGTCTACAGGGAGGATTCAAATATGAATGATCAATGAAGGTCAGTCTTGACAAAGCAGCGAGTTAAAGTTGTTTCAGTCAGACATTGTAACAGTTGCAGTTGTGTGGTGTTTCGTTAATATAGCACCAAAGGTCTCTTTGAGCTTCCTGCTCAAAAAGCATTTTTATCAGCCGCATTTGGAGCAGCCTTCGAACTGGGAAAGCCTTCGTCGCCTGGCTGTGACGGAATCGGCCTTCAAATGCGGCCTCTGGAGGATGTGGCCTAGGAATTGGGACACAGCTGTGGTGTCTGTCTACGTGTCTTTAGCTGGGTCCAAAATGGTGGTTGTTGACAAAAGTGGCTTGGATGCTTCTAGTTAGCTCTCCATTATCAGTAGCTATGCTGGCTATCGGCTAACAGTGAAAACTGCGGAAGGGACGGAAAGCCAATTTCTGTTTTAGCGCATTTGCCCTGCTGTGCGTTTTTGTGGTCTTCCTTTGTGGCTGGTTCACTGACTTTTGGTTGAAGCATGATGGAACTTGGTGTTTTGGAATCTGTGAGGTCTCTGTGAGCTAACGAGCCATTGTTTACCTGGTTACATGAAGTCTGGCAAATTCTGGGCTCGGTTGTCTGTGTTTAGCGGACTTATGTGCATTTACGCAGCTGCTCTTTTAATCATTGCTTGTTTTTGCTGTGTTTGGTGGCTGTAGAAATGGTTTAAATGAGCATTTAGCTGAGATTCTAAGGTTTTGTGGATACTACACATGCTGACATTTGCAAGAAAGGCTTGATGCCATGGAGGGTTGCATGACTCTTGACCTTTAACTGGTTAAGACAGCCTAAGTTAATGTTTGTGATGTCACAAGTATGTGCCACTGCCCCCTGTAGAGTGCGGGGTAATTGTGCTTGCACTTGGACGCATGGACTGAGATGGACTTTATATTTTTACCTCCTTAACTCAAAGTAACATTACGGGTTGTATGAACACTGCTCACTTCATGTATGATAAGACAGCAACTGTTCAACCAGGCCTTGTGAGGTTGGTGAAGATCATGTTTCTTGTCGTCTTGTTCTTGTTGTGAAGTTGTATTGTAATGTCTGCCTCTCATGTTTCCTGTTTTACTTTGAAGATCTGTGTCCTATGTCAGTGTAGTCGGCTTTGCTTGTTATTTCAGATTAGTGTCAGCTGTTTCCCCATGTGTTTCCATTTCCCCTAATCACCCCTGTGTGGTTCTGTTCGGTCCTTGTCAGGATGATCTGATATTCTCGTGTTTGTGTTGTTCCCAGACCATCATCAAAATGTTGTTCCAGGTTCGACATTGCAAGTGACCAATCACATTGTTGTGACGTTATTCTTTTGCGCGCCAAGCCATTCGTGCATTTATGAAATTCCAATGTTGCAAGGACAATATCAATTCTGCTTACTGTTTATTAAAGGGTTAGGGTTAGGGTCAGGGTCCGTTGATCGGCGGATAGAGGCGGTTTCACGCAGCTTAAGTACAGTTTTTTGTTTTACGCCGGTTTTTCCCGAAGTCGCAAAATGACGTCACAACATTCTGATTGGTCACTTGCAATGTTGATCCTGGAACAACATTTTCATGATGGTCTGGGAACAACACCAACACGAGGATATCAGATCAACCGTCCTTGTCAGGTCAACTGTTGTTCTCGGCATGTTCTCCACGTCATGTTTCTAAGTTTCATGTCAGGGTTTTTCATGTTGTTTGTTTAGTTCAACCAGTTTAGGTTAATGTTAGTTTTGCTTCAGTTTGCCTTGCCCTTTGTTTGTACCTTTTTTGTTAACCAGCCTCATTAAACAGCTCGTTTTTTGTTAATACGAAGTTTTGGTTCCACGTTCCTTTTGTGTCTGCATTTCAGATCCTCTCCTCACATTCATACAGTCTGCCTCAGCCAGACTGTGACAACTGTTTTATTAGACCGGACATGTTCAGAGCTGTTGTCCCTTCTCCATTATCATCAGATTTTTCCTTTGCTTATGCACTAAAGGAGTTATTATGATGCTTGTTGTGTGCCCACCTTATTACTGAATTAGGCAGAGCACTCTGAATTGAATCAGGACATAAAGCATGGTCTTTATCTTGATTTATTGAATACTGTCCATCTGACAACTAGCCACTTAACGGGGCCTACCTCGGACAACAACATCCGGTTCAAAAGTCATCACATTAAGACATAGCCATATATCAATACATGACAATGCTGTATCACTTAAGCTTGTTAACTTGTTAATATTAGTTGGGTTTTCAAAAAAGTGCAGATTATTATTTTTTCATGCATGACAATTAGAGGTCACTTAAGCCAATAGAATCACGGTAACATCACCACATTTACACCAGTTCCACCAAATCAGAAGTTGCACGCTGCAAATCCACTTATCCTTATCAGGGTCATGGGGGGCGCTGGAGCGTACCCCAGCTGTCATAGGGCGAGAGGCATGGTACTCCCTGGACCAGTCGCCAGTCTGTCACAGGGCTAACACACAGAGACAACCATTCGCACCTATGGGCAATTTAGATTGATCAATTAAGCTATCCCCACTAACTGCATGTGTTT